ACCAAGGGGCGGCGGCGGCCGTGGCGACATGGGCAGCGCCGAGGAGGATTATAACTTTGTCTTCAAGGGTGAGTCCAGGGCTCGATGCCAACCCCCCTCCCCAAAAGGGATGGAGCGAGAGGCTGGGGGCTGCGGGGAGGGATTTAGAGTGCCTTCCCCCCCTCCCCCCAGGGTTGCTGTGTCCCGAACTGGGATGTTGTTGACCGTCCCCGCAGCTCTGGTGCGCGCCGGGAGCTGCAAAGGGTCGGGATCGGGGAGCAGGCGCCGGCCTCAGCTGTGTCCCCGGCTGGTGGCAGTGGGGTCAGGGCTAGTGAACGTCACTGGGGGCACAGGGACACCCGTGCCCACCCTAAGGCCACACGTGTGGGACGCTGGGCGAGTTGCTGGCACATGGTGGGGGCTGAGACGGCCGGGGTTGAGCGTGCGAGGCATAAACGCTGTGCGAGCGCATTAACCCCTGAGAGCAGCGGGCATTTAAAAGTCATTCTGCTGCGGTCACCTCGGTGGTGGCACACGCAGAGGACGTGTGGATCAAACCTGGGCGGGAGAAACGGGGGCACGGGCTCGTGCCCCCCAGCTTGAGCTCTGCAGGCACGGGGCACCGGTGTCCTCCGTCTCTGCCGGGCGCTACCGACCGGACCCCGCTGGACCTTGGGCAGGTGGGGATGGACAGGCTCCGGGTCCTGGGTGCCCACCGCAGCGGGGTGACCCGGAGCTTGCCCTGGGTCCTGCTGCCCAGAGCCTGGTGGCCGTGACCCCCTTCGGCCAGCATGGCTGGGCTCAGCAGAGGGGGCTCAGCTGCACCCGAGGGGCTGAGAGCTCACGACGCAGGGACAGGACCCCCCTTTGCTGAAGGAGTGACGGCGCCGGGTGTTACACCCACATGCCTGCCCAGGTCTGGGGCCATCAGGCGATGCGGGATGCCCGTGCACCCCATGCCGGCAGCCGGAGCGATCTGGCTGCCGCCCTGCCAATGACACGAGGTGCTGGCTGATCTGGCTCAGGTCAGAAAAGGTTATTTGAATTTCTGTGAAGCGTCTTGGAGCAGCCCTCTCCCCTCCTCGACAGCTCCAGTGAGCTTTCTCCCTTTCTTCCGCAGTCGTCCTGATTGGGGAGTCCGGGGTGGGCAAAACCAACCTGCTCTCCCGCTTCACTCGCAACGAGTTCAACCACGACAGCCGCACCACCATCGGCGTGGAATTCTCCACCCGCACCATCCTGGTGGGAGACGCCGTGGTGAAGGCTCAGATCTGGGACACGGCCGGGCTGGAGCGGTACCGCGCCATCACCTCTGCGTAAGGATGGGATGCCTGAACTCGGGGATCTCTGGTACCCGGGTGGTGATGCCCTCGTGGTCGAGCTCCACGGGTGAGGATGCTGTGGGGAGTGTCCGGAGTGTGGGTTGATGGTGGGGTTCTCCCGTAGGTATTACCGGGGGGCTGTGGGTGCCCTGGTTGTCTTTGACATCACCAAGCACCAGACGTACGATGTGGTGGACCGTTGGCTGAAGGAGCTGTACGACCACGCTGAGGCCAGCATCGTCGTCATGCTGGTGGGGAACAAGACCGACCTGGCGCAGGCTCGGGAGGTGCCCATGGAGGAGGCGAAAATGTTTGCAGGTACGGGCTGGCACCCTGCCCCAGGGTTGGGGGCTTGGGAACCCCCTGATAGCGGGGACCCGCACCAATGCGGGCACCCCGCCATCTCTAAAGGGGCTCGGAAATGGAGCCGTGCCCTCGCCGGGGTCTGCATCGTCTCGCGGGACTCCTCTCATTGCAGACAACAACGGGCTGCTGTTTGTCGAGACCTCGGCGCTGGACTCCACCAACGTCGAACAGGCGTTCGAGACCATCCTGAAGGGTACGTGCACCGACGCCGTGGTGCCCCGGTGACCGGGGTATCGCGGAGTCCCTTACCAGGGACGCAAGGGCTGGGCAGAGGATGTGCAGCGCTGCTCTCTGCGCTGCTCCACCTGAGCAATTTGGGGCTGGTTTCGGTGTTGTCTTTCCTGCTGGTTTGGTTTCCGGCCTTTCGTGCTGGGCGTTCCGCTCTCCGCGCCCCATGGCTTTGTTCTCATGCCCCCCGGGCATCCCCGAAGCCCCGAGGGCTCCTTCTCCCCCTGTAATCCCCCGTTCCCCTTCCTGTTGTCCTGCGCTCTTGACTCAACGTCTCCGGCACCCTGCCGAACCGGCCGTGGGCACCTGAGGGGGACGGGGATGGCGAGGGGTGATGCTCAGCCAGGAGAACCTCTCCAGGAACGGCAGCCGGCAGGAGCGTGGCGAGGTGTGCCGTGCCGTGCCGTATAGCGCCGAGCCAGCCGGCGTGCTGCCAGCGCTGGCACGGGGCGAAGCACTAAGCCCAGGTTGGGCAAGAGGAAATTGCCCCAGCGCAGGGTGTTCCCCAGGCACGGCGGGGACGCAGCCCGCGGGAGCTGCTCCCTTGTCACCCCTCAGCTCGTCCCCTCCGCTGCACACAGGGCAAGGAGAGCCACCTTGGGCCAGTGGGCAGGCAACGGGGGCTATGGGCACCCTACTTCCCCAGGTGGCCCTTAGGTGACACGCAGACCCCCTCCCCGCCCCCGGCACCTCTTGTTTTGCAGAGATCTTCCACAAAGTGCAGAAGCAGAAGCAGAGGAACAGCCAAAGCAACACAGTGTCGCTTGCCAACGAGAGCCCGGAGAGCACAGCCCTGGCGCAGACGGAGAAGCGCCCGTGCTGCGTGGCCCTCTGAGCTGGCCGGGCACCCCGGGCGGCCCCCGGGGACCCCCGCAAGCCCCGGGACACACCGGTGGCATCGAGCTGGGTCTGCCTACGCGCAGGCTCATCCGGTGTCACCCAGCCTGCGGTGCCACCCCCGTCCCGGTGCGGTGGGGACCGGCAGCCCCGGACAGTGGCCAAATTCTGCCATAAATGGTGAGAGGCTCCAGTGCCCGGACCTCTGCTCTGTCTGCTTCGTTTTTGCCGGGCCTTGATTAGCATCACCACCGTCCCCCACGGACCTGGCACCCCCCGGCCCCGCGGTGCAGAGGACTGAGACACCCCCAGGCACCGCTGGCGAAGGAGCCGGGGGTTTCTGGCCGGCATCGTGCCAGCGACGGGAGCTGCTCCTATGGCGTCTGGCCCTGGGGTTGCTCCCCACGCGGCCACCTCGTGCCACGCGCCGGGGACATGGCTGTCCCCACAGGTCTCTGTCCCCACCGGGGACTGCTCTGGGGTCATCCCAAGCCCTAAGGAGCGAAGTGGCAGCGCTCGGCCCTTGGCACACCTCTGTCCCCATCGAGACATGGGAGAACCGTGACGGCAGGAGCTGGCGAAGGTCCCTCCTGTCTGCGGGGCGGGATGGGGTCGGTGCAGAGCGCGGTGCCAAAGGGCCCGGGAACAGCTCCGTGTCCAGCGCAGCGGTGACGCAACCATTAAAGGACTTGCGAAATGCAGGTTTGCTGAGCTGGAATTCCTGCGTGTTTGTGGTCCCATCCCCTGCGCCCCACCTCCACCGCATGCTGCAGATCGTGGTCCGCCATCCCCCTGCCCCCCCTGCCAGCCTGATGCCATGGTCCCGCTGTGCCCCCTCCCAACCCAATGCCACTGTCCCCTTGCACCCTCTCCCAGCCTGAAGCCACTGTCCCTGTGTCCCCTCCCAGCCTGATGCCACCATCCCGCTGCGCCCCCTCCCAACCCAATGCCACCATCCCGCTGCGCCCCCTCCCAGCCTGATGCCACTGTCCCCCTGTGTCCCCTCCCAGACTGATGCCACTGTCCCCCTGTGGCCTCTCCCAGCCTGATACCACCATCCTCCTGCACCCCCTGCCAGCCTGATGCCATGGTCCCACTGCGCCCCCTCCCAACCCAATGCCACTGTCCCCTTGCACCCTCTCCCAGCCTGATACCACCATCCTCCTGCACCCCCTGCCAGCCTGATGCCATGGTCCCACTGCACCCCCTCCCAACCCAATGCCACTGTCCCCTTGCACCCTCTCCCAGCCCGATGCCATGTTCTCCGTGTGCCCCCTCCCAGCACGATGCCACCATCCTGCTGCGCCCCCTCCCAGCTCGATGCCACCGTCCCCCTGTGTCCCCTCCCAGCCTGGGACCACGTTCCCTG